CTGGTTCCCCGTAGCCCGACTCGATTATGCTAATCGCATATGCGTGTTAGCATTCGACTGATCTGCTCGCACACACGGTGCACGTGGCTCGTGTGTTTATCGTTGCAGGCACATAAACACGATAGCCACATACACACATGCCACACACAGCGAATGCTAAGAATCAGGATTCCGACGCGGTCTCCGAGTGTGCTGGAATCCTTGATCGCGAACATCTTTCAGTGCCGCCTCGATCTTCCGCAAACTGGACACCTAATATGCGTAACGGTATAGCGTATCTCTCCGAGACGCTATACCGCTGTGCTCGTGTTTCTTCCTAAATCTAACGACGTAGTCACTAGCTAGCATATTTCTTCCACGATATCTCCACTTTCTGTTACTTGATACGCAGGATATCTTAAAATAGTTTTGTGATTTTCGTAATCGATTTCGGGACGTTCCCTATTCGTTACAAAAGTGATATTCTTAATTCTTATTCTTTTCAAGAGAGATACGACTTTAATTCAAGGTTATATTGGAAGTGAAGCTTATGCGTGTGACGTGAAACGTGTACTTTTACTCGCGTATTTGATATATATCGTATACTTTTACTTATATAATTAATGAATAAATTGATATTAAATGTTTCAACGATAAAAACGAAATACGTATCAATCTAGTAATTAAATCATTCTTTTATCCGTATCATATACGTAATTTTCAACATCATTAAAAATTGTAATATATGTATAATGGCGCGTTAAAATGTAAATTCATTGTACAATGGTCGCTAGGCCGGACAGATTTAATACCCGAGAACTTCCGCCAGGCAAATAAATCACGAGGCAGCAAGTTCGAATGCATATAACAAATTCGATTACGGTATAATATAGAATTCAAAAAATATTGTTATCCTGTTTCAGGATGGATCATTTCACGTAATAAAGTACCTTGAAATTGTGATATCTCTCATGAATATGCGTCAATTTTAATTTAATTCTCGCACATTACTCGTCTCGTTTCTTTACAAGCGATCTTGTCCCAAATTATATGTTGCACATAATGATAGTTATTACGCGTGCGCGTGTTCATTTTGTGTAATTATTTGTAACATATAGATATATATTATCTAAATAATGCGTCATATTAACATCTCATGTTCAAAACAAAAAAACAGCCCCTAATTGTTAATTAACGCTTAAAATGTTAGCTAACCTCAAACATTTTAATAAAACGGTCACTGTCAACTGCATATTTTCAGTCATGATTGTTATATTATAATTCACTTTTTCATATATTTCGTTTATTAAATTTTTTTCATCTATGTTTATTTTCCCACACCTCGTTATATCATAGTATTCTACTTGGATCTCTCAAATTGTGAGTAAATGCGTCAAGGGTTATTAATTTAAACGCGTCACATATTATATAACGCAACGTCAGGAGCTTCTAATTTTTTATCGTAACACTGCTACCGTTTGTTCATGACATCAGAAGTGCGTTGAGTTTACGAGGCGCTTAGTTTACGACTGTTTTACGAGGTGTGGACTGCCAGCACGAGCTACGAATCTCATAACTGTCAAATCCAAGTGCCATTTATGGCTCCCAACGATTCTTGGGAATATAACTGCCTGTGATGTTGTTTATTTAATTTTACCTATCTAACAATACATATGAATTTATTTATTATAAACAATTTTTTATTGTCGTGCTTTTATTTGCTACAATGGAAACAAAAATATTTATGAAATTCCGCTGTTTTGCTTTATTTAGTTAAAAGCATGCGTGTGTAAAATATAAAGATATATATATTTGTTATTATGATTATGTACATCAATCTTCACTGTGTAAAGTTTATATATTTAAATTAGGTAGGTGATTCATTCTTTTGGAACGGACAGAGTCATCACACTCTATGTAATCTATTGCACAACCCCCCGTTTGCGATATATTAAAATATTAGATAAGAAGATATGAAACAAAGAAATTCCTGGTTAGAAGCCATTTTGCTAACTAGAGGCCATCGTAGGTATATGACGTCACTTCCATATCCAACTATGGCGTCACATGACGCTCCACCCTGTTTTCAATCACCTTGGCCTCGAACCCACCCAACTGTCAGACACGCTCCACCCCGTTTTTTCCTCTTCTTCCGTGTTATCACTATCGCCATCTACCGGCGATATTATGCACTTCTCAGACCCTTAAGTAATCAGTTAGTTTATGATCTTCCCGGTCGATGTCACTACCAAAGTAAACCTAAATATCTACCGGGCATAAATACTTCGGAGTGAAAGTAATATCATATTCCCTTTAGAGGGATTCCATGTTCTATGAAGAAACATATGACATCACTATCTATTGTTTAAATTACTCTAATTCGATGACACTAATATGTATATTGCTGCAACATTGATGTTGTCTGTATAGCTTGAGAAATATATTATATTGATTATTGAATCTGCAAATCTCGAACATTAAATTAAAGAGATGCATTTTGCAAAGATGTGGGACCGTGAAAAGTATGCTGTTCACATCAATAGAATTCAGACACTAGCTCTTCAGAGGAGGATACATAAAGGGGAATTTACGGGGCGGGAATTGAGTTCAAATCCTGCGAGAGGTAGAATTTATACGCGAGAGGCGAGGAAGAGGAGGGGGTAGTGAGCGCGTGGAATCGCTATCGGCGGCCATTCATCAATCCGTGGAATCAATACGCTGGAATTAATGAAAGCGCCGCGCGAACAGCAAGCTAGCGGCCGGAATGTTAATCGCGATCGTCCCGCGTCCGATCCGTTCTCATATACAGCAAACTCCCAAGGGCCGTACCTCCCACCCTCTCTCGCACCCTTCAACTCGCTACGCTGCCCCTTGCACATCCAGCCCGTTTCTAACCCCGTGTCTACTATTCACACTGTCATGTTGTCTACAATAGTATCTCATATGTAATAGATGTATGCATATATGTTTCTTTAAAATGTAAATGTTATATTTCTTAATATGTTTGTAACTTCAATATTTTTTATCCTTTTGTTTTATCTCTTTGTTGTTCATATTATCATATGTGAATTTAAAAATCCCTTAATGTGATGTAAATTAACATAACCTTATAAAATAGCAATAAGCATGACTCTAGATGAAAACTAAATTGTACTTACTACGAATCATTTTTCTTGTTAATTGAATAAATTAATATAAAAAAAATAGTAAGGCAATAGTCAATTTCCGATAAATAAAATCACTTACTTATTTTGCTACTTGGTAATTCTAGACTTCTAGAATTTGTTTTACCACGTTAGACAGTGAACTGTATTCAAAAATTTATCGATAACCTTGTTATTCTTCTATACTACTAAGTTTCTGATACAAAAAATCCATATCTTGTCCGAAAGGTGGCGTAAGGTCATAAAACATAACGAAAAATATTTATGTTTAAATATATATATTTAATTTTTAAAAAGTATAACTTAAATTACATATATATATGTACAAAAATTAAAAAAATGATATAATAAGAAGCTTTTGTGCATAAATTTCATATATTTACTTCTGCATGCAGTCGGTATAGAAGATTTCGACTTCAAATCGGCAGATCGACATATCCTCTCAAAAGGAGGAAAACATTTCTCCCTTCAGTCGATAAACAATTCATATTATTATCTATAATCATATTATTAATAACAATTCATTTTTGCAAAAAATTATCTATTATAATTGTTGTTATGTATGTTATATGCAAAGAAATAGAATAAAATATTATTAACTTATTTCGATCATTCTATTTATATAAATGTAACTTTTTTATGTACAATCCAGGTAAAATATGGCTTGTATATTTATTCAATCTCATTATTAAAGGTGGCCATATTAGTCAATTGGTTATTTGCGTATAAATTGCATTATTCAAACTTTTTAAAAACGAACTAATCTCTATCTATTTATTTAATATTTTTCTAGTTATTAAATGTTGACAATATTAATTATGCAACAGACATATATATTTTATATATTATTAGATAAATATATATAGTAAAATTAAATATTAATGATTTATATTTGCCTTATTGCTGCATATAGCACACATATTAAAACTTCTACAAGGATTCCGAAAAAAAGATTAATATAAGGGGGAGGTTTTGGTGGGGACTTCGGTGGCCATGCTGCTTAATGGATGGGAATTTTTCCAAATTTAACGATCGTTTAGCCCGCCCACACAGAACGCTGTAACAAGTTTGGCGTCTATGTGATGGCCGTCACCGTGACGAGCACGTGTGTGACTCTCCTTCTGTTACTTACAGCTGAACTCCGCTCAGTTCATTCAGTTCACTTGACAAAGATCACGCAAACTGAGCTTTTATCCGAACTCTGGGTGTTGTATATGTTTAAATCTCATGGGATCTTCGCACAAAATAACATTTTAATATAATTAGTTACAAATTTGTCTGCTCTCTCGAAGATTAAAACGGTTTATATTCTAAACATATTAATATCATGTATATATATATATATATATAAGTGCATGTTTTTGTTTGAGTTCTCGCGCTAATATATACCGTACAATTTATGATAGTTAATCGGGAATTATGACAAGTATATTGTCCGGACTTTCATAGACGTTTTTATCTGTGGCTCTTTATCCGTGCTAAACTAATAACTAATTGTAATTGTTAATAAAGTGTAAAATATTATATTGCGTTTGACATTTACGATATTTAAGCAATGATTATGATTAATATCACTCGAGAATATAATACGATACAATATATACATGTATTTTCCTTTGTCTTTTACAGGTGCGGCATAACTTCGATAGTAGGGTGGACAGAAGAACAAAACGGATCTGGAGTAACTTGGCAGTTTGAACGAAGGAATCACACCGAGGAAGACGAAGGACTCTGATTACTACCTTCCACCGCCACTTCGTATACGCGTTATACTCGTGTCTTTCTCTTTCTCTCTCTCTCTCTCTTTCTCTCTTTCTCTCTCTCTCTCTCTCTCTCTCTCTCTCTCTCTCTCTCTCTCTCTTTCCTTCTCTCTCTTTTTCTTCTCGCTCTTCACTCGCTAATTAAAGGTTCTGTAGTGCTCCAGTTTATAATTTTATCCTCCTTCGGTAGTGAGACCAGTGTGATAAAAAGTCAAATGATGTACATGTGATCCACAATGACGGTGGTATGATATATACATATATATATACACATATATACATATATATATATATATACGTGTGCTTGTGTTGTCCAACAGTGTGTGAGACGAAAGAAATTGAGTGAGAAAAAAAAATTTTACGGAGAAGTGCAATCCCGAAGTGATAAATCTGTATCTATATAAACACGTGTGCCAGAGAGAAGTGTGTCCGTACGAAGAGTACAAAGCAAAATAAGTTTACGAAGGAAAGAGGACAGAAAAAATAATCATAAGTTGGCCGAGGACAACCAAAGGAAAACCAGTCAGCAACGTAGAAAGGTGATATTAGCAGGTGGGACAGGCGGGAACAGTAGCATGAGTTCGTATTTTGCGAATTCGTACATCCCAGACCTGCGAAATGGCGGGGTGGAACATCCGCATCAGCATCAGCAGCACTACGGTGCGGCCGTACAGGTGCCTCAGCAGACACAATCAGTTCAGCAGCAGTCTCAGCAAACTGGTGATCCTTGTGATCCGAGTTTGTTACGTCAAGGAGTTTCTACCCACCATTATGGGACCGCGGGAGGTCAGCAGGACATGCCTTATCCGAGGTTTCCTCCGTACAATCGGATCGACATGCGGAATGCGGCTTATTACCAACATCAACAGGAGCACGGAAGTATGGACGGCATGGCCAGCTACAGATCGACGTCTCCGAGCACCACCAGTATGGCTCACATGGGACACACGTCAACCCCCAATGGACATCCGTCGTCCACACCCATCGTCTATGCTAGTTGCAAGCTTCAAGCAGCTGCCGTCGATCATCAAGGTAGCGTCCTCGACGGACCGGACAGTCCGCCTCTCGTCGAGTCCCAGATGCATCACCAAATGCACAGCCAGCATCCGCATATGCAGGCGCAGCAATCGCAGCATCCACAGCAGCAATCGCAGCATCAGCATCTGCAGGCGCAGCAACAGCATATGATGTACCAACAACAACAGCAATCTCAAACCACATCGCAACAGGGACAAAGTGGAATGCACCCGCAACAGCAGCAGCAAGCTCAGCAGCATCAAGGTGTTGTTGCATCACCGCTCAGTCAACAGCAACAGGGCGCGTCTCAAGGTGCATCAAGCGCAAATATACCGAGCCCACTATATCCTTGGATGAGAAGTCAATTTGGTGAGATTAATATTTTTTTTAATGTTTACAACAGTTGCAAAATTTTATTCTCTTTCTCTTGTCAAAGCTATCGTCACAGTAGATATTTATAAGTTTGATATAGGTGCTTATAGATTATATAGACATTTAAGAATTAAAAGAAAATATCTACAAAAAGAATATACGATTAACTAAATTAAATGTGCTAAACCTTTGACCGATTAGAATTTTATGACTGAAGGAATTTTACTATAGGGAGATATATGGGACACAAGATACATATCTATTTTTAATATGATGACAGGTTAGAATTGATCTTAAAAATATTCTTTTGCATGGCATCGTGCCTAGTGGGATAAGCGGCATACGTGACGCTACTTTTGAAAATAAGATCAAGGTTTCACTCGGTGCGTGACCAAAAGATTTCATAGAAAGCTAAATTTCTCGTGAGTCTTCTCAGGTAGTAGCTGACTTCTAAATTTATGCAACGGGATCTAGAAGTAGACCAAATTCGTATGACAGTCGACTTAAAATTGGCACAATGTCTCCAGTTTCACACTGCAGACAACGGTTATTTATTGCTTTGACATTTAGTCTACCTGCCTACTGGTTTCACGACGCACAAAGACCGGATCGCAGTAAGAGTTTCTTTTTCCCCTCTCTTTCCTGTGCATCAGGACTGCTTAAACCCACAAAGTCGGCACATCCACTTTCATCTGTGAGACCACACATTGCGCTTGTCTCGCCAGTCTAATTGCTCGGTTGCATTTCTTATTATTTTATCCTACGACATAGTATTAAATGGTGATATAACATATTTCTTGAAATTAATATTATTCGACATATGCATTTATTTAAGTTTCAATATTAAAATCTACACAGTTATACATACAAATGATACGCTCGATTCGACATTCATAGTTGGCAATGCGTCATCCGTGTTACATTTTTGAGGATAGCTTGACGAATCCTCTCGCATTTTTCGTGATTCTGACCTTTTATATGATTTACCGTGGCCAGGTGATGACAGGTACACCGTCATTAAGGTAAAAGAGTTCGTAAGTTCAGGCATCTGAACAGGTTGTGGACCTCCCTCGGATCTTCCATTCACTTCCTTGTTCCTTTATTGATCTATGGTTTCCGATACCAGGGAAACGCAATACCTAACCCTGCTAGACCGAGATCTACCTCAGACAAAACTGTAACGAACTCTGCTCTTAGTTCTGGCTTTCCTCGTACTTTAGCCGGTCGTCGTTTCTGCTGGAAACAATTTCTCTCCGCGTTGTTTCTTTAAACATAAATTGTGTACAGATTGGACAGTATGGTGATGCAAGTAAAGTGATATGAGTGTTTAATTTATGTGCCATTATATATTATTCCTAAAACTCTTTTTGAAGGTACATATAACTTTGCACAGGAAACTTAGCGATTTAAAGACAAAAAGTCATCGATGATTGTTCGTATATCGTTTATTGTTTGAAAGTGTTTATTTTCTAAAACGTGCTGCATCGATCGAAACAGTTGATAACCTAAAGTTCGATTCGGTAAAATTGAATGTGCAACAATATTTTACATTTATACATTGAGTAAAATGCATTAGATAGATACTTTGTCTCTTTCTAATAATAAAGTTATTTATTAATTTGTATTATTGATATATTTATTAATACTGTGTAGGAGAATAATACTTTTGAAACATCAAATTAATCACATCTATCATCATCTTTTTTGTCAAGTTCAGTAAAGTTAAATGCTAATGTTGTTACACGGCAGGACAACCGGACCGTTTCTTTGACTGATAAACTATTGGTTTCTCCAAGCTTGATCGATTATATTGGCATCAAAATCAAAAGTTGTTGACCAAAAGAATGTGTGACATGAATTTTATGCAAATATAGTGTGTATTATAGTATAATATGATATATATTATTGTTTTCTGAGATAGTTTAATCTCTGTGTCATTTCATACGTCTTTTTTTATAAACAAATGATAACACTTTAAAAATATGAACTTTGAAAAGACGGAAAATATTTGAATTTAAACAATAATTATTCTAAATTTTAACGGAAAGGATTCGTTTCACATGTTTCTTCTAAGATTTCCGTTGAGGTTTACTCGTACCATCTTTCGGTGAAGTTCAGAAGCTGATCCCAGGTATCTGCTTCAGGATTGGCCGATAAACAGGACGGTTATGACGTTGTGGCTCGTACTTTACTACCAGTTAACGAAGAAAACAGTTCGAGTCCCCGAATGTATCCACAGATGTCGGCACATATAAGAATGCCTAGTCGCATTTTTTTGCGACTTTATTTTCTTGAAAAATTAATTTTATATATATATTTATTTAGCCACTATGGTTCTACATAATTTTTGTTTGAAAATTACTCGTAACAATGCATAAAAGGAGACTATTGTTTCTCTACGTTCATTTTTTATTGTAATATCTAATTAATTATCAATTGGAATCATTTTAGTAAAATTTTATTAGTTTTTCATTATATATATTTAAACATCTTTCAAATTGTTATTATACGGAAAGAGATAGATACTAAAATATTATTACATGTCATCTTGATAAGATTTAAAAATTTTTCCATACTTTCTGTCTTTGATAACAGTCATGACACTAACTACATTACATCACTAACCAGACATTCCAGGTTAGACACTCCGGGCCCAAGTGTTGACCCGAGGAGAAAAAACCGTTCATCGATATCCGTTTGTAATGCATGAGATAATTGCAATTCTCCGCATGAAAAGATTTATAGCATCTCCACTCCTTCCTTTACGTATCCCAATCGTCCCCCTCTTTCCTTCTTTCTCTCCGCCTCTCATTAAACATATGTAATATAGTTATATACGTGTGAAGTTTCCGTTACTATATATATATATATATATATATGTCTACCTAAGGTCACATGTATGATATACTGCTTATATGAAATATGCCAAGCAAGCTGTATCTTTTTTAGCTATATATTTTTCTGGGAAATATAAAATAATAGAGAATATAAAATAATAGTAAACAAAAAAATAGATTTGGGTTCAATGGTATCTGATTTCCTGCGACATTATTTTTCTTCGCACGTGTACCAATAACTTTTTTTGTACTGTGCAAAGCAAAAAATATTGAATACATTAAATGTATACAAAATTCGTAGATAACTTGTTTGGAAAGAAATCGAAGAAAGTATATCTCATGACTAAAACTGAAGAAATCAACATTTTAAGTGTGAAGTGCATTTCGTTATAACCAAACCAACCGTTTCCGAGATTAGTGATCGTAGTGATGGCGGCTTCATGAGATATTCAGAAAAAGATGGAGTTCAAAAGGGGCAGGCAAGAGGGAGTGCACAGGAAAAAAAAGATCAAGATATATCTGTGTGTATATGTGTGTATATGAGAAAGAGAGGAGGGAGGGGTTAGGAGGAGGCAAAAGGAACAGATGATGATGAATGAATCCACAGAAATTCTGGGACCACTCGCTTTTCGGGTTGCGCCATGAAGGTAGTCTTGAACAATATGGAGGTGTGACTTTCTGATTGATATTTTTGATTAAATTTTGCTATAATGAACAATATAATTACAGTGTTAAAATTATATTTTTGCTCGATTATATATTAATTAGATTTATTTATATAATTAATGTGCAATTAACTGGGTTTTTATTTCAAATAGAAGTTTCCGTTTGCCACGATTCGGTTTCGAATCTTATGAGCCAGCCGCATTGTTCGTGTCTAGACAAGCAGTCGCAAAAGAAAATGAATTTTAATGCCTCAAGTGGAACGTGAAGATGCATATGTCGCGCGCGCGCGCGCGGCGAATCATTCTCGCCGCTCATTATCTCGACCTTCTACTTCGGGTCTTTTAGACTCCGTCTTCTTGTCCGACTGTCTGTTCATCTGCTAGAAAGAGCAAAAAAAAGGACAACGAAGGCAAGAGGGGAAGACCGCCTATCAGATACTCCGGTCTCCTTGGGGCTTTCTAAACTCCCTCTATAAGTGTTAACGGGCTTGGTACTTTTCTTCCTCGTCGGCAACTTCTGTAAAATCCCTTTTGAAGTTGGTTCTGATTCAACTGAATTGCTTAAATTAAACTAATTTCACATTGAAGTTATAATTAATCTTTAAAGAAATAATTACATACGTCTCTATATATTAGATGCGGTAAAACTGGTTTAAGGACTGTGGCACGCAGAAAAAACATAAGCAGCAAGGTTTAAGCAACGAGCAATTTAATAAATGAGTAATTTAAGTAATAAATGAATCGACCAATCACAGTCAGGAATTTCAATTTAATAATCTTATTTTCTTAATGATTCTTGATTATAATTGTCTTATTGCTTAACTCTTATTGCTTATTGCGTTATATCTTTAATATCTCAGAATTCAATTTACTACAATCTTGTCTAATGATTTCTAGCATATCGTGACAATTAAAATAAACAGTGTGATAAGAAAAAAGTGAAGTATATAAATCTAATGTATATAGATGAAATGAGGAATTTATAGTGAAACATCACAACGAAAAACATAAAAAATTATATTTGTAAATATCTTATTGGTATATCTTTTATTGGTATATCTTATTACATACCAATCTGTCATAATTTAGATTTACATTCTTCTTTATTAGTATCACACCAAATCCACTTATATGAGACTCGATTCACTACGGAATAAATACATACCTTAGAATCAAATTTAACGAAAAAAAGTGCAGTATGGAGGGAAACAGAACGGAGATATAAAAAAGGAGATAGATCGCTTGGCTTAAAGTATGTTAAAACTAAAATACGTGGAGAGAGAACTACCAGAGAACTCTGATCGCGTAACAAGAAGTGAAACAAGAGAAATATTAGAGGTCTATTGTTTCTTAAATTTATTCATTTTGGAATAAATGTAATTTGTTTTAACTTAGAACATATTCAACAGAGATTTTGGTAATATTTAAAACTAAAAAAAATGTTAAATTTTGAACCATGGTATAAAAGAAATAAAATCATAAATACCATTCCTTCTTGTCGCACATAGCGGTTATCGAAGAAAATATTTGGACAAGGATTTGATAGGTGTCCGTTAATAGCATGGATGTAATCCGCAGTTCATGAACGACCGCAGCGAACGAATGATAAAATTAATAATGCATCTAGGGTATCTAATCGAAGAGTGTTTCAAGGCCTGGCCTTAAGGTGCCCACGTAAAGCTTAGCTTAATTGGGCAGCGAGTGGTGGCCGCGCCTTATTAGCGGGTTACAACATCCGGCTAGCTGTTAATCTGAAAAGTCCTGCGTATATCCTGCGGCGGGCCTGAAAGACCAGTCCGGACAGGGAGGGAAGCGGAGATGCGGAGCAACTAGCCTATAATAAGCCGCGCGGCTGTGTATGTTCTGTTCTGTTTCGTTCCTTCATGCTGCGCCAGTGAAGGCAGACCCATAAATCTCCCGGGCATACTCCAGGGGACATTTGATCCTTGCGTAACCCAACGCCGTTAATTTATTGCCCCGCGTTTAAAGTCACCTCCGTCCGCGAAAGCCGTAGTAGTAGTGCCGGTACACACCGGTCCGACGCAAACTTAGGTCATCGGTGCGACTTTCTTATTATTAGGTCCTTCGCCATGTGCTATACACGAAAACCTTAGAAATGTCCGCTATATCACGAGAGGAGAAATTACATTATCGTAGTAGATTATATTATTGAACGACGATATTGTTTGGGTATCGGATACACTCGTGCGCTTGTTTAATCGACGCCATATACCTCAGCACTTGGAAATCTCACGCTTATAATATCACCATACGTACTGCCTAATTCTCCTGACTGGATGCCTTTAGATTAAGATCGGAGGTTCAGTGATCAAATCGATCGGCTCGTAAGCTTTAACTCATAAATAACGGAGAGTCGTCGATGGAACGTTTAATAATTCACTTCTTCGCTCTGCAACGTCTAATGACACGGGAGGATTTATATGCGAGGTGACCTTTCGAGACAAACCTGATTATTACATCGCACTAGCGCAGAATTATCTCTGGCTTGAACTGATCGCACACGTGAATGTATCTTAAACACCTTCTCCAAATAAAATTGTGCTTAAATTTCTTATCATTTCAGCAATTTAGAAATAATTAGTGGATATTGCTACTTGTAGTCGGTGCTTAAAGTTGATTTATATGGGTGGTGAATTAAAAAATTGAAATCTTTGGAGAGAGCATGATACTTTAAATACAATTTCATGAGGGAGAGATTTTATTTAAGCACGTGCAGACACATTGATTCCGAATACATTTCCGTGGTATAAATAACTCAGTCGTCTGAGAATATAGATCGGAATCTTCCGGGTGTTAGTGCGGTTACTTGAACATGTTCCATGTATCTCGCGGACGCTTTGATGATCTAACCTAAGACCCAGAACATGATCTTCATTAACAGTTTGACGAATGAGTATTAATATGATGCAGCTTTCATAGAGCGGTCGACGGGACGTTTGATGGTGACAATATTTCATTTAAGTGGTATTCAGCTACGTAAAGATATTTTTAAGAATACATTAAAATTTATTACCATTGTTTACATTAATTTATATGCATACAGATTGTGTTTAATGATAATTATTTTATAACATTTTTATACATTTTCGGCGTATAATGGCAAATAAATCCCTGAAACGGTAAAACCGTAGAAATTGACCAAATCGTTAAGGCTTATAAGAAAGCGCTAGAGAGATTGGTATGTTGTTAATTTGAGAGCGTAGCCTTAGGGAGGGAATAAGAAAGCATGTTCCCAGCCTCCTCTGTCTTCCTCCTCCTTTCTTTCTCTCTTTCTGTTACGCATGCTTTTTCTCTTCCTCTGCATCTTCTTCTCTTCGTCCGATCGAGGGGTTCAGGAACCTACGCGATCTCTCCATCTCTCTCCGGAGCAAAACCGCTATCCATCTTCATCGGCCGACAGCACGACGGGCGGCGTTTGCCTCGAATACTCGCCAAGGAGTTTTCTTCTCCTTCTCCTCCTTCTCCTCCTCCTCCTCCTCCTCCTCCTCTCCTTCTTCTTCTTCGTCGCCGTCGTCTTCTCCTCCTCCTCCTCCTCCTCCTCCTCCTCCTCCTCCTCCTCCTCCTCCTCCTCCTCCACCTCCTCCTCCTCCTTCTTCCTCTTCTTCTTCTTCTTCTTCTTCTTCTTCTTCTTCTTCTTCCCCTTCCCCTTCTCACTTCTCAATTCTCTTCCCTAGGCCTCCTCTTCTTCCCTCCCTCATACCATTCTGAAATATTCCCGTTTTACTCTCTCGCACTCTCGCGCGGCGGGCTAACCCAACCTAACCTAACCTTTTGAGGTTATATCTCATGAAGTTGTGAGACTTCACACACAGAATCAACTTCCTCTGTCTCCTTGGTACCTCTCTCAGTCTTTTCCACCTCTCTCTCTTGCTCTCTTGGCAGCTACAATTAATATTCTTGTTCGGGATTCGTGTACCGCGCACCGACCGCAGATCATGTCACGGATATCGTTAAGGTATCTATCATATGCGGAACTGCACCTACGATCCCAGGATTTTTTACTTACACTCGCGGAGATATTTTCGTTTCGTTGAGATTTGCAGAAACCTCGACCGGTTCGATCAACTCGGATTGCGGTATTTATCAAATATTTCAGCTAACTCTAGTCGAGGCTGCATAGCTTAAAAATCAAAAAGAGCGTGTATGCGCGTGCGTAACCATTGTGACTATGGGTTTTTGAAATACTAATTTGAGATTCTGATTTCTTCTGTTGCAGAGAGGAAACGGGGTCGGCAAACGTATACGCGATATCAGACGCTAGAACTGGAAAAGGAGTTCCACTTCAATCGATATCTCACTAGGCGGCGACGTATCGAGATCGCTCACGCACTATGTCTGACAGAACGGCAGATAAAGATCTGGTTTCAAAATAGACGGATGAAGTGGAAGAAGGAGAACAAAACGAAAGGCGAACCAGGCTCAGGTGATGGCGACACAGAAATCTCGCCGCAGACGTCGCCGCAGGGTTGAAAGAGCTCCGAGGAGTGGAACTTCTAAAGAGGTCTCATCTCTCTCAGGGTCGTTAATACCTTGTTTCCAGCACTACCTCTTCCCCCACCTAAACTCCAGTCCCCGTCGATGACCTCCAAATGACCCCTCAACAGCAATGACGCTTATTTTGTCGTGTTAATCATGTTGCTTGTACCAAAAAAAGAAGAAGATAAGGATGACGGCGAAGAAATTGTGAAAGGACCCGTAAGAGTGGCCGATGACGAATAGACGGCAGAGAAGGAAATTACGAAAAGGTGACGTGTCGAGAGAAGAAGGGAAGAGCAAAATAAAGCGAAGACGCACAAATAAGTCAGCAGAGGATTTGCGGAAATGTGCATGACTTAATGTGGATCAAGATTATGAATAAAAGGAGAATGGAAGAAGGCAAAACTGGATCACATGCTAATCAGAACCGCATTAACCTCTATTACGTTTAATCAAATGTAATTGTACTAAAGCCTATATAGAGATATGGATAAAAAAAGATGTACGTAGTTTAATGCGAAATCGCGAGATCGATGGCAGTAATCCAAGTAGAACGCATGAGAATATGTGGTATTCGGAGTGATAGGTGTAAAGAGCTAAGTCCGTTGAGAGAATGAGATATGTGTGAACCTGCGCGTGATAGAGAGAAAAAGAAAACCGCGTTGAGAAATCTTAGGAGAGCATTTTATTATTTATTCTCTTACGCCGTACTTGTAGAGTCGTAGGACGGTTAGTAGATTAGCAGTACGAAGATGTCCGTCGCGTCTCTATTTAGCGGTAGAGATAAGCGGTTTAGTGTTCTTAGAGAATCGTTTAGCTAGATCTTTCTCTAGTACCGCGGTGGCTCCAACAAGGAATATTTAACATTCGTGCCAAGTATGATTTCCGAACGCCGCGCGCGCGCGCGCGTTTCTCGTATTTTAATAAAATTTGAGAGAGGATCTGAGCAACACCAGGATATATCGAATGAAGAGAAACAGAAGGCTAGAAAAGAGGGGAAAAGAGAGAATGGGAAAGAAGGAGAAGGAGTGAGGAAAACAATGCAGAGGAAGAAGAGAAGAATCATGGAGTTCACGTCTAACCCTGATAACCCAGTGAAACAAGTGCGTGCAACAAAATCAATTCCATTGGAAATCAGTGATTTTTGGTGTGTAAATCTAACGAATACGATGATGTTTTAAATATTGTATGGGACGAGACGGCGACATAACCGTGGATGGAATAGATTAGTGCTGAATGATAAAGTGAGTTTGAGGAAACAGCGCCCTTCGGCGGAGCAGAGTCAAACCGACTTGGCATTTCTTCATCAGCGTCATCGCAAGGTTAGTCTTATTGAATGAACATTGCTAGTGATACACAATTATCGGTTACGTTAAATGTGCGAATGTCATATTGAATCGTTTGCATTTGATAAGAACAACTAGCCCCCCGCGTTTCGACGTAACAGAAGACACACTTTCATGTGTACGCTTCGTTACGCAAATCAGTTTTATTTTACACGTACTGAACACGAACGACAAAAAATGTTTTCGCTATTTGTTTTTATCATATGTAAGGAACATCTGTTTACGTTTGCTGACCGATAATTGAGATGATTTGCTCGTATCATGCACATTGCTCAATATGACGGGTATGATAATGATGTACATAGGCAGTCCTCTTTTAGTGAAAACGTGTCTGTTCGGAAAGAAAAGATATTGAGATTTTTAGATCTGTGACGCATATAATTCTTTCGAGGATCTAGAAACGTTTTATTTTATTCGCAAGCGATATTTTCTTATTATTAATTATTGTTATAAATAGAAGGAAATTTTCGATTTATACTTAAATTTATGTTTAATTTTAAAAGTTTGCGACAAAGTAAATTCGATATTAAGATGTAAAAATGTATAACGTAATGTGTATAATATCTTTTATGATGACGGGCACGCTGAGTGATCTCGAATTATTTCCTTTGGAAACTGCTTTGAAAGCAGACGTGGTAGTAGTACTCATATTCGTTGCAAAGAGAGACTCTCCTTTTTCTGTAAATATTAAAGAAAGAAGAAAGAAAGAAAGAAAGAAAGAGAAAGAAAGAAATGTAACACAAGAAAGGCAAATCTGTCCTCTTGCATATTTGTAGTTATCGAAAAGTTACTCTTGCTCCGCGCGACGTGACGCCAAGTTACCAAGTGTTGTAATATGTAGTATATTTTCGGAATAGGATGCTTTTTCGGCATGAGACCGCTTGGACACCTTAATAGCGATTCGCAATTAAGTTCAGTGTAAACAATTCCTTGCTTACGATAGAATACATCACATGATATGCATTATTATTCCAAACTACTACATTGTTTTTTTTTAGAGAGAGAGAGAGAGAGAGAGAGAGAGAGAGAGAGACAGAGAGAGAGAGAGAGAGAGAGAGAGAGAGAGAGAGAGAGAGAGAGAGAGAGAGAGAGAGAGAGAGAGACAGTTTGCAGTTTTGTTTTCTCTTTTACGTCATATATGTCATAATAATTTGTGACCACGAATTTTTTATCTTAGTTTTTTCAACTATCTTTTCTTTAACAGTACATCGCGAATATTCCAATACCCGACACTCCCGGCGAGCATTTCCCGCTTAGTCCACTGACGGGCGATAAAGGAAACTCAAATTAAGAAACTGAGGAAATGTTTAATGATAAACGACGCGAGAATACGAGAGTCGCACTGGCAATTATCACAAGCATATCGACTATCATCTTTCGTTCGCGCACGGTACATCCGCTCGTCGACCCATATGCGACTCTCTTCCTTCACTGACGTTCGTTATCCAAGATATTAGGTTTCATTTGTCTTCTATTTTTTCCTCACGAAAACCGCGAATATGAATGCAATGTGATCGATTGCTCTCATCATCGATGTGCCGCGCTTGCGGCATTTGGTATACGGTTGTTTATCTCTGATAAGACGCGTTAAGCGTGACAAGCGGTATCAGAGCACTCGTCGACTTTGTCAATGGATCTGGTTCGATGAATCAATTTTATTATGCCGTATCGGGAGATCTATAGAGAACTCTGGCTGCATTGTGGCCGAACGGACCGATGTACTCTCCGCCGCGGCGAATTCTGTGCTGTGTTGTAAACTTAGATTTGACATAATTATTTAGTTTGTACCTTGTATACACAACAACTGACGGTATACGCGCGCGTAATAAACGACATTAATGACTACACGCTCGACAATGCGAACGGCAGTTGAAATAATGTCTGCAGGTAGCTAACTTCTAAACTCTGTTGTACGGAAATCGACTCTTCACCGTTTTTGCATTATAAAATGGAAAAGGGGCGAAGGGAGCAGCGGCGACACGACGTAAACCTGTAATCGATATACGTAACACATGGTCCGGCTCGCACTCGCGCGTTGATCGAGCAACGACCAGCCTTTCCTTTTTCGAGAGATTTATTTATGGAAAATCTTTTGTCTTTGAGGAACAACGAACTGAAGCGGGCAATTTCGGCGGTCGCTCACTATTGCACACGTTTCGTAATATTCATTTAAACTAATTATATCACAAAAAAAATTCTTTTCGTTATACACCACTCAGTTTGACTTTATGGTTTCGTCTAATTGGAATATGCAAATATTTGATTGTAAAATCTTTTATTGTAATTATTGACAAACAATATTTATGTAAATGCGTAATATATAATCTTGTACTATCGAGAAATGGATTTTTCTTTCTTCATTGTAAATAAACCACTCGCATTCTAATTATTACCAATTCGTGGATCAAATAATAGTCAATAATAAAACGGGGAAAAATATATTGCTCTTGGCCATTTTATCATCAGTTGCGATATTGTGGCCAATATTATTATTAAAAAGTGATTTTGTAAAAGATTTTATTTCAAGATAAATAGAAATAAAAAAAGATTAATTTATGAATAGTCTAAATATTAAAAATTGTACGCTCGCGATAGAAAGGAGAAGAGGGAGCAAAAGAGAGAGAGGGGAGGGATAAATTCAAAATAAAATATTAGTTTGTCAGATTGAATAGTATATTTATACACTTCTTTATACACTTGGTTATAATATATATCAAAAAAGTCGTATATTGTAATAAAAAATATATGTTCGAAGTGTGCAATGGCTCTCTTTATACAAACGGTGGTCATTGTGAGCGATCGTCGCGAACACGCGAACATAATTAAAGCAAAATAAAATTTTGTATCCATTGGATAATGAATTATTATTGTAGATTACAAATACGTATGAACACGCGAAATGGAAATTCCTAGTATTAACTGGAAGAAACAAAATGTAAATTATATATTTTATCTCTACTCGTATATATGTATATATATATATATATATATATATATATATATATATATACGCGTAAAATTACAGATATACGTAAATTAAACCAAGTACTGTTAGTGTATGCAAAGGTAGAATTAAAAAAAGCTGAACGTAAATGCAACAGCGCCTATGTACGAAGTATGTCACTAAGATAACTCGTAATCGATAAACGTAACATCTAAAGTCTAATTCATAAAATAAGGTAATAATATTAGTAAAACGGGCATGTCAGTCGCAATGGGCAGGGGCGGCGATCGTGAGATGGTAATTAGATTTTCGCCCAAGTAAATAAAAAGAAAAGGGAAAAAGAAGCCGTATTCGCCATTTAACGTACACATATGGGAGGTGCGCAATTAAAATTTTATTTATTATTGTCCACGGTATGCGAGAGAATGACGGCACTTGCAGAAAATGTACATAACTCCGATCTTTCTAACTAGGTTACGCGCGAAACTCTACGAAATAAGTAGAACAAAGAAACGAAGAAATATAAGAAATAATGCTTGTCAACGAACGAGTAGCTTTCAGACCGTAATATTATTTAGCCTGATACTATTTATTGATACCATGTTATATATAACGCAAAGTGGATTTTTCTGTTTGTTTTATTGATTATACAATAAATATTTTTTACAATATACTAGATAAGTTGTTGTAGGTCTTTATATGTACCACTTACTCTAACACTTCCTTGGACATCTCTACGGAATAATAATGATTAATAGACACTACGAAATCGTATCATGAGATTGTGTTCTTAAATATCCAATTAAACTTTTTATCGGATTACATACAGGTGTATGAAACGACGTTCAAAAAATGTATGTTTTTCTTTCTCTTGTGCATTTGTATTTTTTGATACTTTACTCTTATTTAATCTAAACTTCGTCATTTGAGCCACGAAAAATTTTGCAAAAGTATTATATTTTTCGTCATGCAAATGTTGAATCTCTTAGCGGTCTATATAACCTCGTCCTCGTGCGCGAATGCACCGAAGAGTTCCTGACTACCTGTCGCATTTTAGGCGCAGGTGTCATTATAGTTTCATATATCTTTTAGATATTGTATTTCTATTCAAATATGTAAAATATATAAACGAACAAGCGGAAGTCCCTCGCCCCTTCACTTTATCATTCAGGAACCATTTGGCATTTTGCGTATAATTATAATTCAAACTTATATTTATGAGAAGAGAACTTGATCGATATTGTTTCTCATGTGTTAAATAGAGGTGCTGATAAAATTTCAATATGTCCTAAACTGCAAAACGTAGTATTGAACAATATTTCATTGATTTCACGTTTTGACGATAAATCAAATTCTCCTACAAATTTCATAAAATATTAAATTGCTTGATACTTATAGTACACTTTATTTAATACTTGAATCATATTTCGATATATTACATGTAAATGTAAAAAGAAAAGAATTAAGGCATTATAGGTGTATCGCTTACGTAATCGCAACTAGAAGAAATTGTCATAATCATACATATTAAAACAAATCTTTTGCAATTTCAAACTTTTTTATTTGAGATTTGCGGCCTCATCGATTATAGGTTCCGCCATGTGAAGACTGATAGACCCCGTAATGCGACAAAAGAATAATGTATACTATAATAGTCGCTACAACAAGAAGACATCCAGACCGACATAATTATTTAACGGTGGCATGGATAGGCAGAAGTAATTATTTAACAGTATATTGTGCGTTTGAACGAACTGATTATTTGAAAAAAAAATTTTGCCAGTTAAGAACCAATTTAGAAAATGACATTGTACTGTACTCGTAAAATATCTTCTCTTGCGAGTCCAGTCGAATTGAAAATACAAGCAATAAAAATTAAAGGAGTTGCTCTGGCTTTCGTTCCGATGTCTCAGTGACAGAGAATACATGGCAAACAAGATGCATTTGTATATAATTAGTCAGGATATTAATACGAATGAAGATTTTTGTTATTCTTTTTTCTTATTTTTATTATCGGCAGGGCAATGTGAATAGCGACGTCTGACGTCGCGGCATCGAATCGCGAGCTGCGACCCTGTATACGATACCGTGTAGGTAAAGTAGGTACCTGTTTACTATACTAAAAAAACCTTACAAAGTAACGGTAGCAAAAGTCTAATTAATTACTATTTATTAATACGGTACTTTAACGATATATGCCCGTCGTTGAGTTTCCTGAGTAACTCGATTACTCAGTAACTCGACGAATGACTAGTGTAAAAAAGATTGACAATATTTCGAAAGCCGCAACGTTGTCGTCTGCTGAGGTACTTACGGTCGCTCCAGTGTGTTGCACGTCCGTGGATCTGATTATGAAAAATTCATTTCCAAAATCTCACGTGAAACATTGACATATGCTCAATACTAGCAACTATCAAGTACTTGGCTTATAAATATATCTTGAGATAATTTAAATAAGAAGGAAACGAGACAGAATTACAATTTCTAATTTCAATTTAGACTAATCTGCTCTAGATTAATCAAATTTTGGACCGTATTCATAGTCAAAAATTATATTCAGAGTTAAGATTAACTTGACAGAATTTTACTTATCAACATAATTTTATTACGTAATGTACTACGCATGTTACATATTGATAGTTCTAGTTCAAAATCCAGCACTCGAAAGATTATTGGTCGATCAAGCAATCTACTTTTAGTATTTTTCATACGTATTTTTCTTTTTCTTCAAGCACAATATTTTATTCAAATTGAATAATCTTTTGTCACGAACTTAATCTCTAAATGTTTTAACACTAAACCTGTTTGTTACTAAGAGCGTTTATAGTCGTCTCTTATGAAGATAATCTCTACGTGTTGAGAACGACTATATCGCGCAACAAGCAATTCGCTCGATCGCTCAGCTTTTCGGCCGGACTTTACCGCAGCGGAAAGGTTAACTACTCTGTAGCTGAGACACAGTAACATTGCTATAATTTATGCAAATGATATTATCACTGAATATTTAGCTATCTACGTTGCTTAATGGCGATCATTAAGATAAGAATGTTTTAAATAGAATTTTGAATAATTTCTTTAGACGATAATT